GCTTAACTTTTTTCCAGGTGTATAGTTTACACAGGTTGACAGCAATACATAGGATTACAGATTCAGGTAAACAGATTTTATGAAGAGTCAGGGCTTAAAAATTATCAAAAATATAAAATGTACTGAAAAACAACATCCCTAATGTCTAATAATAGTTTTGAAAAAGATAGATGAAATATATTAAAACTACTTAATATTAAGATTTATTCCAACTTTTGATGAAGATACTAAGGTTCATGAGTGAAAGTGCCAAGACTTGCTGATGAAGTCTCGTCCTCAATTTGCCATACTCTTCCCTACCTGTTAATTTTTTGCTGTTTCACTCTATTCACTTAATGTTAAAACTCCTTTCACTTACTTACATTTCATTCCTTTATATTACTATAGTCCTTCTGCTCTGACAGTTACATGTACTTTTCTTTCTCCTTTGCTCCAAATAAAGCATTATATTTTTATTTCAACACCATGTGTTCCTTTTAATTTCAGCTGCAACACCACGAACCTCTTAGCTTTGCAAAGACTTAGAGACTGAGAGCCAAGTTTGTCCTTAATTTACCATAAATGTACAGTTGAGTTAAAAAACAATGAATTTCACTTATTTTATATATATAGCTTACAAAATATTGATCACATTAATTGTTAGTAGGCGATTAAATCAGTACTATAAAACAATAATGAATTAAATATCTCATTACCGTTATCAGTCCAGGTTGTCAACTTATTGTTATAGCGGATAATGTCTGTGGTAATAGCACCCAAATGTGTTAGGGATATCCATCTATCAGACAATATCCAAATGCTGATGTCATTCTCGTCAGTAGTCAAGGAAAATCATAAAAAATCAATGAAATAAGGGTACGAAGCTGGGTGCTTACACCCATAATGTCTCAGCTCCTACTGCCTTTCACTGTCTATAGCCAGTTGTGGGAAGGCAGTTATCCTTAAATTTCTTAAAGTAGAAATGAATTGAAATTAAGCCATCCTAATATTTCTACTAATTAAACTCCCAACCTCCACCCTTACAAAAATATATAAAACAGAACTATAAAACATTGAATAGAACTAATAGATATTAAATAGAACTATATACCCTATCTTAAAGTTCTTATATAGTTCTAACTCCTAATTTCCTCCCTTCCTCCTGAAGATTTATTCAAGTATAATACGGCAATGCCGAGACAACTCCTAGTTATACCGAATAAAATTACTTGAAAAATTGTTATTAGCTACTTATAAGCTAAAGTAACTAGCTCCCTCTTTATTTTATTTATTTTTATAAGATATTTTCCTTAATTGATAGTTTAGTTTCTAAAATATTTTTGTCTTTATTAAAAAATAAAGGTATTTTTAATTGCCTGTCTTTATAGTCATTATTATTCAGTTTATTTTTTAATAACAAAACATTATCCATAAAAAAATTATAGTTATTACAGACTATTAAAAACTGTTTTAGTTGAGATATAATAATACTGTTACGGCTCCGTTCGTTAGTTAATTTTCCGTAAAAATTCTTTCCAAAGAAACTTTAGGGATACAAGTCCTTTCTTAAATAAAACTAGTTTATTCTTTCTAAATACAACTTTGGAATACACTTAATTTTCACAGTCACGCTATAACAAACGCTATAATTCACAAAGAACATCTCACATGCTCGACTCAACAATACGTCTCTCTCTATCCACAGTTCAATTACCTATTACATTGTTGCTGTCGGTTCTTACCGGTTTATATATACAAGACTACCGCATATCTATTAGCCTCTCGAGACTTCATGATCCT